ACCGCTGATGTTTCGAAAGGCAGAGAATACCCTGGCGACGTGGTCCTCGCATACAAAACCTTTGAGGTCATGCGCGGTTTGGTCAATGCGCTTTTGGCTGCTCCAGCACCTCGCCGCCAGGAGGTACGCCTTGAATTCCATCTTGAGGCCCTGGATCGGCGCATATGCTTTTGGTGCCAAATACCTTACTGGGCACTTCGTCGGCGCCGGCTGACCGGTGCAAACAAGCATCTGCCTGCCTGCGGTATCAACTTGTTTTTGAAGCTTCTCACACCACTTGCTCGAAAAGGCCTGAGTCTTGAGCTCCATCTCTCGCCCGCACTTCCAACATAACCTTTTTCCATCAAGGTGAGGGAGTAGATTGTACTTCCGGCAGGCTGTTTCAGCTTCGTCTTCGCTCATGGCGAAAAGCTTTCCCAAGCTCTCTTCTTCCAACTCTCTGAAGTGCCGTCCTTTGCGCTGGCGCTTTGCCCTTGAATAGGGAGCGCTCCACTCATGCGGAGTGCTGCTGCCCCGGCTGTCCTGCCTGCGCTGGTTTTGCTTGGGGGCCAGAGCAGGTGCGTCCTCGGTTGCCGCAGGCCGCCTGGTAATTCCAGCAGTCTTAGCGTCTGTGGCATTCGCCGCCCCCTTGCCGCTGGCCTCTGCTGCATGCCTCTTCAAGATAATCTTAGGCGCGTGACAACATCCCTTCTGTCCAAGCCCATGGCCGCTATCTGCTCATTGGCATCACGACTGGACGCCGCTTTGACATGGTGGCTCTGGACGGGGGTCAACAAAAGAACAGACTCTGGCAAGGATGGCTGAAACGTTCTATACACATCAGCAAAATTAGCATCCGTCAGATGGCGTCTCCCTTTCACTGTCTCCAATCGCGTTTCAGCACCCTCATACTGAGACGCCTCAAGCTCCAACCTGTCAGTGAGTTCAAGTGCCATGCAGGTTAAGCTCCAGAAGACGAGGCCTGGAAAAGGCACCTGCGTGATGGCACCTGCAACCTGGGCCCGGATGATGACGGAGGGGGGAAGGACCTCTTCGGAAGGCCCTTTTCGGCTCGCGACTCCTGCCTTTGCCTGAGGTGAGGACTCAGATGAGACTTCGAACGTCGTCTTCGGCGTGGTCGGCCCTTCTGAGCCTCACGGGGGCCTGGGAGCCTCCGGGAGCTGCGGGGGCCTCCCCAAGCCCCCGGAGACTTGTGGAGACCTCCCGCCTGCCACGTGCACCCAAAGCCCACGCTAGGGACGCAGCTCCTGGGGGTGCCCTGGCCTTACGCGATGGCTTACGCAGGTCGTCAGCGCTGCACGCCACGTGGACGCGAGAGCACCTGCGCGCGACCTTGCTGAGGCAGCTTTCGCGCGAATGCCCGCGCACTCCATCCTTTTCTTGCAAGTCGCTGTTGACTGTAACTCCTACTCCTATCCGCAACCATCGCGCCCGGACCTTTCCAGGGTTAGCTCCGACCAACATGTCGAGGCGGATCTAGCAGCGGCGACGAAGGGGCCCCGTGAGACCGAAGAAGGACCGCGTACGCCCCAACAAACGCGATCCTCGTCCTCAGGGGTTTTGAGAAGTTCTCGAGGATCCTGTGGTCCTGAGGGGTTCTCTGTGGTTCCTGGGGGGTTTTGCGGAGCCTTGGGGGGGGGGGCAAGACAGAAGGGGAGGGAGGAATGGAAGGAGGAAGGGAGGGATATAGAGGAGGGAGGCAAGGAGGGAAGCAAGGGACACGGGAAAACGAGGGGGAGAGGAAACCAGGAAACACCGAACGTAGGCGTGCACAGTGATCCGCCACCGTGCCCCTGGGCACGGAGTGGCTCCAAGAAGCCCCAAGAGGCCCCCAGGAACGCCCCGAAACAGCCCAAGAGGCTTCCAAGAGGGCCCCGAGACGGCCCAAGAGAGCCCCAAGACGGCCCAAGAAACGCCAAAGACGCCCCAAGAAAGCCCCAAGAGGCCCCAAGAGGCCCCAAAGAGACCCCCAAGAGGCCCCCAGGAGGCCCCCAAGAAACCCCAAAGCGGCCCAAGAGGCCCCCGAGACACCCAAAGAGCGCTCCAGGACGCCCAAGGTGCGCCCAAGACAGCCCAAGAGGCCGCCAAGAGCGCCCCAAGAGGCCTCACAGCAGGGGCCCGAGACGCCCAAATCTTTAATTTTATAATGGTTTTTGAACAGTTTTGGCTTTCCCGCCTTTTCTGATTTCCGACGCTCCAAGACGGCCCAAGAGGCCCCCAGGAACGCCCCGAAACGGCCCAAGAAGCTTCCAAGAGGGCCCCAAGACGGCCCAAAAGAGCCCCAAGCCGACCCACAACGCGCCCAAGACGACCCAAGAGAGCCCGAAAACGCCCCCAAGAGGCGCCCAAGACGCCCCAAGAGAGCCCCAAGAGGCCCCAAGACGGCCCCAACAGGCCCCCAGGAAGCCACCAAGAGGCCCCAAGAGGCCCCCAAGAGGCCGACTGATGCCCCCAGCCGCCGCCGTCGCCGCGACCGCGGCGGCGGCCGCGGCGGCGGCTCGCACCCATGGCCCGGTCTGCCCTATTATTACTACTACTACTACTACTACTACTACTACTACTACTACTACTACTACTACTACTACTACTACTACTACTACTACTACTACTACTACTACGACTACTACTACTACTACTACTACTACTACTACTACTACTACTACTACTACTACTACTACTACTACTACTACTACTACTACTACTACTACTACTACTACTACTACTACTACTACTACTACTACTACTACTACTACTACTACTACTACTACTACTACTACTACTATTACCACTACTACCAATACTACTGATACTATTACTAACTACTACCACTACTACTACTACTACTACTACTACTACTACTACTACTACTACTACTACTACTACTACTACTGCTACTACTACTACTACTACTACTACTACTACTACTACTACTACTACTACTACTACTACTACTTTTGCTACTACTACTATACTACTACTATACTACTACTACTACTACTACGATACTACTACGACTACGACTACGACTACGACTACGACTACTACTACTACTACTACTACTACTACTACCACTACTACTACACTACTACTACTACTACTACTACTACTACTACTACTACTACTACTACTACTACTACTACTACTACTACTACTACTACTACTACTACTACTACTACTACTACTACTACTACTACTACTACTACTACTACTACTACTACTACTACTACTACTACTACTACTACTACTACACTACTACTATTACTGCTACTACCTCTACGATTACTACTCTTTCAACTGCTGCTACTACCTCGATTACTCAAATGTTGGTAAGAGCCGCTACTACTGGCGCTGTTGGCAGTAGCACTCGTACTACTCGCACGACTGGGATTACCAGTGTACTACTAGAGTTAAGTAGTTTTACGGGTGGTATTATTATTATTTGTTCGACTCGCGCTCGTGCTAGCATTCGTAATCGCATGGGTGCTAGAAGTCGTCGCGCCCCCCCCTTCCCGCCCCCCCCCCTCCCCCCCGCCGGCGGCCGCCGTTACCGGCACCTCCTCGCCCGTCCCCCCCCCCGAAATAACACGCGGTACCCTCCCAGGGAAAAAATAGAAGTTTCTGGCTCAGCAGATCCAAGAAATCCGCGCGGAGCGTCAAAGTTTTCCGTTTATGGCGTTGTTTCTTCTTTGTTTGTTTCTTCTTCTTGTTCTTCTAGAGCACGGGCGACCGTTCGCTGGAGTGACCTCCAAGGTGCGCGCCCACAGAGGTCCCCCCAGCACTTGGCCTGCGTGTCTCGGATTCGACCACCCCGCGGACCCCAGAAGCCGCGCTGCCAAACGTCGCTCTTGTCAAAGTCGAGCAGTACCGAAGCGTTCTGGTTTGCCTACAGGCCCACCAATCAGTGTTCTAAGAACCTTTTGTGGTCTGCACGACATGTCCTTAGAATCTTGTGGGTTCTAAGAAGATTTCGTGGCAGGCCTATAGGAATGCTGGGACGGCGGGTCCCTGCTCAATAAAAGGTCGTTCTTGCGTGTAGCCGACTACAGCTACTCATGCCTCGCTTTCGCTTTGCAGGGCCTCCTAGGAGGCCTTCGTCGTCACGGCTGGATTTGCCTCGAGTTTCTAGTGAGAGCGCACCTTGGGAGAGGCCCTGGAAGTCGCGGCATTTGTATTTTTGGTCACCACCCCAATTGCAGTGACTCCGGCCTATCTTCCTTGCCTTACTTTTCCTCCTCCTGCTCCTCTTTATTATCCTGTTCCTTCTCCTTATCCTCTCCCTCCTTCTCTTCCTTCTCCCTCCTCCTCCTCCTCCTCTTCCTCCTCCTCTTCCCCCCTTTCAAGCCTTTTCATGCCCTTTCGGACCCTCTCCCTCGCCTCCTATTGCTGCTGGTGGTGCTGTTCGTCCTCCTCCTCCCCCTCCTTCTCCTCATTTTATCTTCCCTTCTCATGGTGGTTAGGATGCAGCCTGATTGCATTGGAGCCGCCGGCGTCGTCGAAGGCCATGTTTCGGACCCCAGGGCCCTGACGGATTCATCTGGCTTGGGAACCGATGATCCTCAGGACGTGTGCTAGAGCACAGTGCGCGTGTATGTTTACCTGTTTGAGCTCTGCCGATAACACGAAGCCTGTGTCGGTCTTTCTTGCTTTGCCTGCGTCGTACTGAGGGCCTCGGTGCGGCGCTAAAACACGTTCTGAATATCATCAAAGGAAATGCTGCAAACTGATGGGTCTGGGGCTGTGATCGCGATTTCTTTAGATTTTGGATTTTTGTTCGCCGGCAGCGAGGACGAGGACGAGGGCGACGACGACTGCGGTTTTCGTTTGTTGCTGGACGTCTCCCAACCGCGGGGTGCTTCTCAGCAGCTGCGCCTCGCCGAGAGCGTTTCGGTGGTGCCCAAGTCGCTCTGGACGCCAACTCGAGGACCGACCTCGTCGACGTCCTGATCTCTGACTGGTTGATGATTCAATCCCGCGTTTGATTCCACTTCTGCGACCCCGAGGCCGCCGAGCCGGGCAGCCCGCTGGCGCCCAAGGGCGGCGAGGGCCCCCTGCACCGCGTCGACCCCGCGCTGGCCGAGCGCGGGCGCGCCCTGCAGCCGGGCAGGGCCGGGCGCCTGTACAGGCCGCCTCCCTCCTCCTCGTCCTCGTCCTCCAGCTCTCCTCGCCTCCCCCTCCTTCGCTCCCCTCCTCCCTCCTCGTCGTCCTCCTCGTCGTCCGCCTCCTCGTCCTCCTCGTCGTCCTCCGCTTCGTCTCTCTCTCTCTCTCCTCCCTCATCCCTCCTCCACCTCCTCTTCCTCCTCCTCCGCCCCCTGCTGGCCCTCTCCCCTATACAGGCCGTCTCCTCCTCCTTTTCCTCCTCCTCCTCCTCCTCCTCCTCTCTTCCCTCCCTCCCCTTCCCTCTCTTCCCTCCCTCCCCTCCCCTCCACCCTCCCTCTCCCCCCCATCCCGCCCCGAGCGTCGTCGTCCGGAGATGCGGCTCGCTGGAGCTCGTCGTCCCGCGAGCGGGGCAACTCGGGAGGTTTTCTCGCCGCGGGATGCTTTCTAGCAGCTGCGCTTCGCTCAGAGCGGTCCTGGGGGAGCCGGAGTCGCCCCGAACGGCGGCTGGAGGCCAGAGTCAATGGCCTGAGAATCGCCAGAGTCATTGACCCTGAGATCCTGGTGTCTTCTGTTGCTTCGCTCGCACTAGGCGTTTTTGTTGCCCATCTCGAGCCGCAGGGCCCCCCACAGATCGATTCGGCTCGCGACTCGGGCCTGAGGCTCCTGGCCGTGTAGTTTCACGATGGTGCAGCTGTTTCGCTGTCGATTCGCGGAGGTGATCCTGTCTCGGGCTTCGTTCCAGCACCTGCGACTCGCCGGGGAGTTTCGGGCTGCCCGAATTGATACGAATGGCCGCTGGTGGCCTGAGACGTGGCTGGACAATCACTCGATGCTCGAACTCATCGTCGTCGATGTCGTCGTCCCAAACGACTGGGTCCTCGAAAAACTCAGGGCCGCCGCGAGCAAGCAAGCAAGGTCCGATCGCGCGCGGGCCCCACAAGAGGAGGCGACACTGGAAAAAAAACATGCAAGTGCACAACTCCTCCCAAGAAATAACTTACCGACACGCTACTATGAAGCCATAAAGTCCACGGAGTCATCTTCGTGAGTTGCCAAATCAGAGATCCCAGTGCCACGGAGTACGCCTGATAACGACGTAGCATGCATGATATTCCAATACCGGTTGATGTTGTTTGTCCACCTCATCTTCGGGCGTCCCGGGGATCGTTTGCCAGAGAGGAATCCATTTCAGGGCTATCCTCGGCCAAGACAAATCGTCTCGAAAAGCTTTGTGGGCGAGCCGCCAGTGCATTCTGTCAATAACTTGTAACCCGTCAGAAACGCTATGCTAAGAAAGCGCACTTTGACGTAGATGTTTGAACCGTCTGCCAGCGTCTTCCCAATCTTCTCCTGGCCGCTTCCAACAGCCAACGGCTTTGCGCAGCATTGCGGATCTCGTGACGGTAATCCTCATGCGTTGTTGTTGCGTAAGCGCGCACGTGGCTAAACCGCACGTGATTGTAGGCGAAACCACGCTGTCAAAGAGAAGGGAGAGCCGAAACTTGACCGACATGTTTTTTGGCGAGGACCGCCCGGTTCGAATGGTACTTGGCCCACGCGCACCCCATGCGATAGACAAGGTTGACGATTCATACATCTAACATGTTCCCGGACATTTTCCGCCTTGGGCTCTTGTGGAGGTTGGCTTTCAGGCCTCGGGGGTCTCAGCACTCGCTTCGGGATGGTAAAATCACGGCCCAGAGGTCGAGAGGTCCTGGGGCCCACACATCGACAAACGTCGAAGCGACAGATGTCTGGGGTCGTCGCCGTCGATGGGGTCTAAGGATCGAGGGCTCGAGGTCTTCATTTTTTTCGGAGCCTCAGGAGGCGCCCTCGTGGCCCAGCTGGGCCTCTGGGTGTGCCGGTCGAGGTTGGTGCTCGTCGTCGTCGTCGTCGTCGTTTGTCTTCATCGAGGGCGAGGTCGTCGACGTGGCTAGGGCAGGCCCCGAGGAGGAGTCTCGGGCAGGTTCTGATGTTAAGTCAGGCACGTCCGTCTACAGGACGAATTCTCAAAAATAGTACAAATAGTCGGGGGTCAATTTCTTGATAATGTTTGAGCATTTTTGGGCATTGCTTGACAATCTTGTTATCCGTAAGGGCTTCGCCCCCTGCCGCCAGCCCCCTCTCGGATGATGGGCAATGCAAGAGCGAACGCATGAGGTTTTGGCGCCGCCGTGAAGCAGCGTCGGGACTTCACGCGAAGACGATGAATCATCAGCAAGACACATTGAGATTCTGATGATATTGTTGAATTCGGTGTCGTATTTCGTAGGTTTATGGCTTCGGATACGCGAATAGCGCGCAATGTACGGGGGTGTATGGCTTTGGGCTTGCAAATACAGCGTAATTTGCGCAGGCTCACGGCTTCGGAGACGCGAATATTGCGTAATGTACGAGGGTGTTTGGCTTCGGACACGCGATTATTGTGCAATGTACGAGGGTTCATGACTTGGGATCGCAAGTACTGCGTCATGTACAAGGTGTATGGCGTCGGAAACGCGAAAATTGTATACTTTACAAGGGTTGATGGCTTCGGGGACGCGAATAGTGCGTGATTTACTAGCGTTTGTGGCCTCGGGGACGCAAGCATTGCGTAATTCGCGAAGGTTTATTGCTTCGGGGACACAAACATGGTGTATTTTGCGAGGGTTTCTAGCTTCGGGGACGCGAATATCGAGTAATTCACGAGGGTAGATGGCCTCGGGGACACGAGTTAATCACCCCGACAAGCGAAGCCGTTTAGCAAACGCACCCAAAAAAGAATCGAATAGGGCAGTGCTGTTTCGTAAACGCCCAGGGTCGCTCAGTAGACGCCAGTTATCGGGCCCGGGTGGATTTTGTTCCTCCCTTGCCTCTGGTCCTCGGACCTCGACGACGACGATGAGCTCGGGCCTGCAACCAGCCCTGACCGGAAGCGAGGCATCAGAAGTAAGTCGGGCGTGTCCCCCTACAGGCGGATTTTGGACGAAAAATCTGCCGGCCCCCTTGTGGGGCCACCAGGCTGTAGGACGAAGGTTTGCTGTTCCCTGCGCCAGTTCCAGTTTCCAGTTTCCACTGTGCTTCGTGTTGCTTACTGTTCCTTGTTGATGGACCGCGCGAGGGGGGGGAGCCGAGGAGGAATCTTGTTACCACGCCCGAATCGGGTGCTCTGAATTCCTGGGGGGCCGTGGGACACGTAAAAATATATGAAATTCGCGCCTCCCAGGCCATACACCCTCGTAAATTACATGTTCTGCCCTCTGGGGTCACGGTCACCCGGCCGCGCGAAGAAGTTTCGAGGCCGTCGGTTTCTCGTCTGCTCGGGAGGATCGGAGTGTGTATACTGGAAGATTGGTGACGAGGGCAGCAGCAGTTGCCCACCTTGAGCAGGATCTGCTGTCGGTGTTGCCGCGGGCGCTGTCCATCCGAGGCCACAAGCTATCTGCTCAGCAGCGGCCACGGTCGGTTTTGAGCCATGTCTGCTGGTGGGCATTGTCTCCTTCTTGTCCATACAGTCGGGGTGGTGGAGAAGGAACATTCTCCGTTGGGGAGGGGCTCCGTGCTCCTTCATTGTTTCGCAGCTTGCCTCAGGTTTTCCTTAGGTTTTCGATGGGAAATCGAAGTTCAATTTATGGAAAATAGGGGTCTCGTTCCTTATTTAGGGTTCCTTAGGTCAACGCCCCGACGGTACCCTTCTCGGGCGTGTCAGGGTCCGAGGGCCCGCGCCGGCCTGAAACAGACGGGGCTCCCAGGATTCGGGCTGCGATGATCGGACCCTTCTGGTCTCTCTTGGCGTCGCACGGGTCGCCCTCCTGGCCGCGGCCGGATCCGCCTGGCCGGAGCACGCCCGGGGACGTCGGGTGGCCGTTCGTGGTCGTCGTCGTCGTCGTCGTCGTCGTCGTCGTCGAGGGCTTGTTCAGGCCCAAGTTCGTCGTCTTCGTTGCAGCTATCGTCCCCAGCTTGCCGGCGGCCCGGTCCAGTCTCGACGGAGGTTTCTGCATTGTCGGCTTCGGGGGGGCCGCTTCGGGCCCTGGAGCCATCAAAAACTTGCCAAAAACATAGGAGTCGTCGGGGTGGGGTCCAGAGGCCTATGGGCATGCCATGGAAAAACATAGTGACGTCGGATGTCCGGGGTCGTCGTCCTTGTGGTTGTGTGTTTCGAAGGTGGGCAAGTGAGGTGTTCGCAGTTTCTTGCCTTCTCTTGCGGATGCCTCCAGGGACCCGTGGGAACGCGTCCAGAGACCTTTGGTCGGAGTTTGATAGACCTCCTACCCTGACACGTCGATCAGGGAATTGGCCGTTTTCGGTTCGCGAGAGGGCGTCACGGTCGTTATTTTTGCGGGTCCAGGTCCGTCGGTTTCGGTCCTAGGCCGTTTTCACTAAAGGGTGGTTTACTAAGGGGAGGTGTGTCCACCGCCGATTTGGGAAGCTTTATTCGGAGACCTCAGATGCAGGTGTCGCAGAGAAAAAGAGGACGACGCTTCTCGTTTCGGTTCGGCCCAGGACGCTCGCTGGTCGAATGCCGCTCGGCAGATCCCCTGCGCTGAAGTGGGGTCGAGGCATCTGGTCGTTTGGTCACGATGTTGCGATGGCCTCACGGCGCTGGATCTCCAGGCTTAAGTCGGGCCTGTCCCTCTACATGGGGAATATTCAAAAACAGTCCAAGAATAGTCTGGGCATTATTTTTTTTTGCATTGTTTGACCATTTGGGGGGCATTTTTCTGGGTATCTGTAATTTTTTGCCCCCCAATCCCCCTGTAGGGGGACGTGGCCGACTTAACTCCAGGCCCAAGCAGACCCACGTCATCCGCTTCGTGCTGACCGGCGGGCCTTGCGCCGGCAAGTCTTCCAGCATCGGGACCATCATGGACGCCGCCAAGGCCAAGGGGTACGACGTGTACATCTCGGGGGCGGCAAAGAGGGGGGTGATAATTAGTGGGGGGTGGATATCATTGCGGGGTCCATGATGGTTCCCAGATATCATGGCGCCTCTTCTTATTTCATTACGTCCCTGGCCCCCCCGCTGGGCCGCGCACATGCCGCCGGTCATGATTTGCACCCCCCCCTCTTGGACACCCCCCTCTTGGCCGCTCCCGAACATCGGACCTGAGGTGGCCACGCTGCTGTTCAACTGCGGCTTCAGCTTCCCAACCGACCCCAGCAAGCCGGGGTTCGAGGAGCAGACGTACGCGTTCCAGAAGAATCTGGTGAAGCTCATGCTGCAGCTGGAGCGCTCCATGACGGCCATCGCCGCCAGCACCGGGAGGCCCTCCATCATCCTGTACGATAGTAGGGGAACGAACAGTGACATGAACATAAAAAGTCGGAGGTCCGCGCGGATGTCTCGGATCGGCGCTGGACCCCCCTCCCTGGCGCGCGGAGCGCGCCAGGGGCGGCGCCGGAGGCGCCGCCAGGGGGTTCAGCGCAGATCCGAGAAATCCGTGCGGTCCTCCCAGTTTCTATATGTTTGTGTCATTTTTCGTTCCCCTAGATAGGGGTCTGCTGGATGCCAGCGGCTACATGCCGCGAGCCGAGTGGCTCAGGCTGCTGGACGAGCTCGACGAGGGGCGCGGCGTCTCGGAGGCGTACTGCCTGCAGCGGTACGACGGCGTGGCGCACCTCGTGACCGCGGCGGACGGGGCCGAGGATTGATGGGCCTGTTTTCCACCTCCACCACCATAAGTTGGAGGGGGTAAAGAGGTGGAGGAGGAGGAGGAGGAGGAGGAGGAGGACGAAGAGTAGTAGGAGGAGTAGGAGGAGGAGGAGGAGGAGGAGGAGGAGAAGGAGGACCCCCTCCCCCTCCTACTTATGGTGGTGGCGGTGGAAAACGAGTCCACCAAGGATTTCTACAAGTGGGGATGGGTGAGCGATGACGCCGGGAAGCCGGTGTTCAGGAAGGAGACGCCGGAGGAAGCCAGGGAGCTGGACAAGACGATGAGGAGGCCAGAATTACACAACAAATGCTGCCTAATCCTACACTTTCGGAGGTACTCGCGGACTTCTCTGGTCGGCGTTGGGCCCCCTTTCCCACCAGTGCCCCCTCCTCCTGCGCGCGGAGCGCGCCAGTGGCCAGCGCCGGGGTTGCCGCCAGAGGTGTTGGGGAGGGTAGCGCCGACCCAAGACATCCGCGCGGACCCGTCGAAAGTTTGCGCAAATTGCTTGTCTGTAAGGCCCCCCTCTTTAATACATATATATATATATACAAGACTGTATTGGCGCTGCGCGCCATGCACTTTGGTTCTTTGAGTTCTGCACGCAAGCGGAATGCGTGCGTGCGTACATGCGCGCATGCATGTATACACGCGCACGTGCATGCACGTTCCGTATAAATGTTTAGGTTTATAGAATATATATATATATATATATATATATATATACATATATATATATATATATATATATATATATATATATATATATATATATATATATATATATATATATATCCCTGGGGGCGAGGCCGGGTGCCCCAGGACAGGTGCCCCCACCCCCCATGGGGGGACGGGGGCTCATTTTCCTTGTGTTTTTACAGGGTTTCCGCGTCCTGGGCCTGGGAGGCCGCCGCCTCCGACCCCCCATGGGCCAGGCCAGGAGGGCCTCCAGAGGCTCCCAAGACGGCCCAAGCGGGCCCCGAGTCGCCGAAAGACCGCTCCAGGACGCCCAAGATAGGCCCAAGACGGCCCGAGAGGCCCCCCAAGGCACTCCACGACGCTTCAAGACGCCTCTCCAGAGCGCTTCCAGAGGCCGAAATCGTCAATTTTACGAAGGTTTTCGACCGATTTTGGCCTTCCAGCCTTTTCGGCTGTCCGACGTTCCAAGATGGCTCAATAGGCCCCCAAGAGCGCCCCAAGACGGCCCAAGAGGGCCCCAAGACGGCCCCAGAGTCGCCCAAGACAGCCCAACAGAGCCCCAAGACGGCCCCAAGATGCGCCCAAGAGGGGGACCACGACTCCAAAATTCGACCCTCTGGCTTGAAGAGTGCCCCAGGAGGCCCCAAGGAGCCCCCAAGAGGCCCCAGGAGGCCCCCAACAGGCACCCAGGAGGCCCAAACGAGGCCTACAGAGGCCACAAAACAGCCCCGAGGAGGCCCCACAACGGTCCCAAAACGGCTACCGAGAAGCTGCGAAACTGCCTTCACGACGTCCCCGACAGGCCAACCACGAGATCCAAAGCAACACCCATGAGGCCTCTGACCCACCACCCAGGGCACGGTGGCGGCAGCAGTGACAGCACTTGTGCACAGCATGTTCCGGCGGGAGCCTTCCGGAACACGCTGCAGGAGGAGGAGGAAGATCAGGAGGAGAGAGAGCTGGAGTGAGGAGGAGGAGGAGGGGGACGAGGAGGAGGAAGAGGCCTCCCAGACAGCTCCAAGATAGCCGAAGAGGCTTCCAAGAGGGCCCTGGGCGGCCCACGAGGGCCCCAAGGCGGTGCCTGAGGCGCCCAAGACGGCCCGAGAGGGCCCCAAGACGGCCCCAAGAGAGGCCCAAGAAGGGAAACACGAACCGAGAATCCGAGCTTTCTACCCCGAGAGGGTCTCGGGAAGTCCCAAGAGGCCCCCAATCGGATCCAAGAGGCCCCCAAGAAGCTCCCAAGAGGGCCGACGAGGTTCCAAGAGATCTCCCAAGGTGGCCCCAAGAGGCACAACACATTGTTTTACGATTGGGCTTTGACGTTTTTTTTCTGCCTTTTGGCATCCCGATGCTCCAAGACGGCCCAAGAGGCTTCCAATACCGCTCCCATATAGAGGAAGAGGCCTCCAAGAGGGCCCCAAGACGGCCCGCGAGGGCCCCAAGACGGTGCTTGAGGCGCCCAAGACGGCCCGAGAGGGCCCCAAGAGCCCCAAGAGAGGCCCAAGAAGGGGAACGCGACCCAACAGCAGAGCGGTCCCCCCACAAGGCCCACAGGAGGCCGCAAGAGGCCCCCAAGTGGTCCGACGAGGACCCCAAGAGCTTCCCCGAGGGCCTAAAAGGCCACCAGGAGACGTCCAAGAGGATTTCAAATAACCCAAGAGTACCCTCGATGCGTCAAAACTGCTTCCAGGAGGCCCCTGGGAGGCTTCCGGATTGTCTCAATCTGGACGCAGGTGGCCTCAAGTCGGGCCTCCACGCAGCCAAGACGGCCAATGACGGCTTCAGATTGCAGAACCGATGCCCCCAAGGGACCCTCAGACGCCCCCCCAAGAAGCACCCAAGAGGTGCCTCCAACAGCCAGTTGACGAAGCATGCGGAACACCCCAGAAGATCCTCAGATGCCGTCGCGCGCCTGTGCTTGATAGCGTTGTCCAAGATCGTCCAGCGCCCCCCTGGCCTGGGCTAGAACCTGAGCGCGCGCGAAGCGCGCGCGATGGTTCTAACCCAGGGGCCCGAAAACAGCTGCCCGACCCTCCATGCGAGTACCGGGGCTCATTTTCGCTGTGTTTTCACGGGGTTTCGGCGTCCCGGCCTCGGAGGCCGCCGCGATGGTCCCGGACATTTTCCAGATCCTCGGCGCGGGCTCCAAGACCATTCCGCAGAGGGCTCCAACAGGCTCCAGGGCAGCCCACGAGGGCTCCAAGACGGCTCCAGGAACGACTGCAGGGTCTCATTTTTCTTTTGTTCTCTGCAAGACGGCTCCAGGAAGACTGCATGTCTTCTGAGGATGGCTTCCGCCTCTTGCCCCGAGCATCCCAAACTGCCTGAACGGTTCCCACTCGCCTTCCTCAAACCCAGCGCTTGCCCAAGCGCGTTCCGGACGTTCTTCGCCGGAACGCGCTGGAATGATCACGCGCTGTGGTTTCCCATGCCAACGTCCTCGGACGTGGGCGCCCTGCCACGAGCGCGTTCCGGGAAGATGCTCCTGGAACGCGCTGAAAAGATATGGCCACATCTCGGGGACGCTCCCGGCACCGCTGGCCCAGCCTTTCTGGGCAGCCTCCACAGCGCTCCAGAAGGGCCCAAGACGCCCCCTAGGAGCCCCCAGAATGCGAAAGGATGGCCCAAGACGCTCCCGAGCAGCCCAAGTCAGCCTTCCGACGGCTAGAAGTCTGATAGGTATCGCGGTACGGCCCGGAGAGGCCAAAGTCGTATATGTTCAATGTTCTTTTCAATGTTTTTGGCTTCTCGCGTTTTCGAGCTCCCATCGGTCCAAGAGCGCCGAAAAGCCTCCATGGGGGTACTGGGGCTCATTTTCCCTGTGTTTTTAAAAGGGTTTCCGCGTCCTGGGCCTCGGAGGGCGCCGCCTCCGACCCCCCATGGGAGGAGGGGCGGCCGGGGAGGTCCAAAATAGTCCAGGAGGGCCTCCAGAGGCTCCCAAGACGGCCCAAGCGGGCCCCGAGTCGCCGAAAGACCGCTCCAGGACGCCCAAGATAGGCCCAAGACGGCCCGAGAGGCCCCCCAAGGCACTCCACGACGCTTCAAGACGCCTCTCCAGAGCGCTTCCAGAGGCCGAAATCGTCAAGTTTACGAAGGTTTTCGAACGATTTTGGCCTTCCAGCCTTTTCGGCTGTCCGACGTTCCACGACGGCTCAATAGGCCCCCAAGAGCGCCCCAAGACGGCCCAAGAGGGCCCCAAGACGGCCCCAGAGTCGCCCAAGACAGCCCAACAGAGCCCCAAGACGGCCCCAAGATGCGCCCAAGAGGGGGACCACGACTCCAAAATTCGACCCTCCCGCTTGAAGAGTGCCCCAGGAGGCCCCAAGGAGCCCCCAAGAGGCCCCAGGAGGCCCCCAAGAGGCACCCAGGAGGCCCAAACGAGGCCTACAGAGGCCACAAAACAGCCCCGAGGAGGCCCCACAACGGTCCCAAAACGGCTACCGAGAAGCTGCGAAACTGCCTTCACGACGTCCCCGACAGGCCAACCACGAGATCCAAAGCAACACCCATGAGGCCTCTGACCCACCACCCAGGGCACGGTGGCGGCAGCAGTGACAGCACTTGTGCACAGCATGTTCCGGCGGGAGCCTTCCGGAACACGCTGCAGGAGGAGGAGGAAGATCAGGAGGAGAGAGAGTTGGAGTGAGGAGGAGGAGGAGGGGGACGAGGAGGAGGAAGAGGCCTCCCAGACAGCTCCAAGATAGCCGAAGAGGCTTCCAAGAGGGCCCTGGGCGGCCCACGAGGGCCCCAAGGCGGTGCCTGAGGCGCCCAAGACGGCCCGAGAGGGCCCCAAGACGGCCCCAAGAGAGGCCCAAGAAGGGAAACATGAACCGAGAATCCGAGCTTTCTACCCCGAGAGGTTCTCGGAAAGTCCCAGGAGGCCCTCAATCGGATCCAAGAGGCCCCCAAGAAGCTCCCAAGAGGGCCGACGAGGCTCCAAGAGATCTCCCAAGGTGGCCTCAAGAGGCACGACTCATTGTTTTACGATTGGGCTTTGACTGTTTTTTTCTGCCTTTTGGCATCCCGATGCTCCAAGACGGCCCCAAAGGCTTCCAATACCGCTCCCACATAGAGGAAGAGGCCTCCAAGAGGGCCCCAAGACGGCCCGCGAGGGCCCCAAGACGGTGCTTGAGGCGCCCAAGACGGCCCGAGAGGGCCCCAAGAGCCCCAAGAGAGGCCCAAGAAGGGGAACGCGACCCAACAGCAGAGCGGTCCCCCCACAAGGCCCACAGGAGGCTGCAAGAGGGCCCAAAGTGGTCCGACGAGGACCCCAAAAGCTCCCCGAGGGCCCCAAAGGCCCCTGGGAGACGTCCAAGAGGTTATAAAAAAGCCCAAGAGTGCCCCAAATGCATCAAAACTGCTTCCAGGAGGCCCCCGGGAGGCTTCTGGATTGCCTCAATCTGGACGCAGGTGGCCTCAAGTCGGGCCTCCACGCAGCCAAGACGGCCAATGACGGCTTCAGATTGCAGAACCGATGCCCCCAGAGGCCCCCCCAAGAAGCACCCAAGAGGTGCCTCCAACAGCCAGTTGACGAAGCATGCGGAACACCCCAGACGCTCCTCAGATGACGTCGCGCGCCTGTGCTTGAT